TCGCATTGTGTCCGGAAGGTGATAAAACAATACATTTTCGGTTGTTCGTCACTCATACGGTGATATTTGAAAGCGTTGCTTTACTCAGTAAAGTAACGCATCAGTAAAGAAAATGTGCCACCCCTAAGTGAGAGTGAATGAGTACAATCGCGCATCATTTCAACTTGAAAAATAAATAAATACACCTTAGTTAAAAAAGCCCCGTAAAAGACTGTTACGAAGGTCCTGTTACAGGACATTAATCATCGGCTATTTTACCGTAAAAAGTACACACAGACTGTGTTAAGAAAGCCCTGTTTTTTTAATTTATGTCTGTTTACCCTGTTAGCGCTACTAACGACAGCCTTAGTTTTTACCGGACTTTCGCACTGCTAGGGGATTCGATGAAACCTGACGGTAAAGTGCAGTGCAATCCATTTATTCGAAAACACCTGATACAGCTTTTTGACAAGCGTAGGGTCTGAATTGAAACTTTCAAAAGATGTCTAATTTGATCTTATCACTGTGATCAAAACATTCAAAGGTTTATTTTTGTAGTAGAGGAACTTTTCATGTTTTGGTGGTCTTATAGTTGTATGTTTAATGCCAGGCTTATTATTTTCTGCTCATTGTTGGTGTGATAAACTATTACATGCTCTACAACTATCTTTCCACTAGGTGTTAATTCATGACGCGAAGACACGATACCTGTGAATGAATGTTTGATGCTGTCCTCAATATATACAACACCATAAGCAAACGAGATATCTGTTTGTTTACTTCCTGTTCTTTCTTTCTGAGTATTTTCTATCATTTTTCCATTCTATTCCAAGTAGTTTTAATGATATAAGTGTATATCTCCACCACTACTTAGAATATGAGATTTTGAGATCACTAGCCATAGATGGCAAACTTAATTCAATGGATTACATTAGTCGGCTAAAAAAGGTAGTATATAAACGTGCACAATTTGATAGAGCAGCGTCTCGTTCTCAGAATGCTATTTTTCTTTGTCTTTTTCCCTGAACATTCATGCTGGCTTTGTATACTGCCTTCCAAGATCAAAATTCATCTCTTTGAACTCAATATCGGATGGTTTTTTTAGAAAGGTTTCATATATATATATAAATATAACAAAATATAAAATACAACGAAAAACTATTTCTTTACATTACGATTATTCACAAAACTTCATTTTGATTAATATGGTGACCACATCTACTATTATTTATATTTCTCAACAAATTAACATCTATTTTGGCAGTTTTCTCTTTATATTTGGATTGATTGGTAATTGTTTAAATATTGCAATATTTCTATCGAAAAAAACTTTAAATAAAAATTCTTCTACAGTATACATAGTAACATCATCAATAACTGATTGTTTGGAAATACTAACTGCTTTGTCCACAAGAATATTAACATATGGGTTTGATATTGATTTTACAGTATCATCGTTGATATGGTGTAAACTGCGTTTATATCTAAGACAAACATTTGCATTAATATCGTTAACGTGTATTTGTTTAGCAACAATTGATCGGTATCTAATAACGTGTCAAGAATTTCATGTAAGACGCATAAGTCAAACATTAAGTACACGTTTATCCATTGTAATTGCAATTATACTCGTATTTTCAACTGCATCGCCAATAGCAATATCAATGGTTATTTTTTTTTATTATCACAAATAAGCAAAATCAAACAACATGTACATACTCCTCCTTACCATATTTATATTATTCAACATATGCGTATAATCTACTATTTTTATTATCAGTACCACTATCAATATTGACCGTATTCGGTTTCAAAACATATAAAAATCTTCGAAAAAGACGAGTTGTACCTGTTCTTCAACAACAACAACAACATCGTTTAGATCAACAACTAACATCAATGTTATTACTGCAAGTGGTATTCATTGTAATATCATCCATTCCATATTGCATTCAGAGTTTATATTCAGCAATAACAACAAACTATGTAAAGAGTTCATTTAGACAAGCACAAGAAACATTATTCATGACAATGACAAGTCTTATATTTTTTCTCAATTATATTTCAAATTTTTATGTTTATTTAGTATCGTCATTAACGTACCGTAAGCATTTTGTGAAAATTATACGTAGCTTGTGCTTTTGTTTTAAACCAAATGAGATTACACCATTCCAAACAACACAAAGTATGAATAAAAACACTTATACAAGAACAATTATCAATTAAACCTTTTATATGCACAAACTACTACTATGATTTCTCAATAAGAATACGACGTACGTTGTTCTATATACAAAATAGTTAGACATTCTGAATGTTTATGCGAGTGTTTATGCTGTAATTGTATGGTGAATATCCAATGTGTAAAAAATTTCAAATGTTTTTTTGAATTTCTCGCTGATGAACTACAGTTTAAGGGCCTCCCCCCCTCAGAAATGGTGATTTTCGGTCAAAAAATCGGTTTTGAGATACACACATGGAAAGATAGCCTGAAGTGTCTACTTCCAGAATCTGTATTGCTTTTGGTTACAAAACTGATTTTTCGGGGA